CTCTCGGTAGTGCAAACAGCGCAAACAGATGCGATGTTGAGATTTGCTATTTCTTGGCGAACGACGACTTGGATGAGGGAGACGATGGATGAGCTATCTTGAGGGCCGTTGGAAGCGATGGCTGCAGGAGCCATTGCTTCGAGTTCGCGGCGAATGATCCGGGTGACATTTTTGAATGATGTAGCTTCACGATGAACCTGCCGCTGGTCACCTGGGAGTCACCCGCACTTATGATCGCGTCTGGCACCGTTTTTTCTGGCCACGTCTATATCGCTCTGTGCAAAAAAGTATGTCGCCAGCTGCGACCTTTGTCAACATCGAAAACGAACAACATTGCTTTCAGCTGGCCTCCTTCACCCTATTAAGATCCCTGCTGAACCATTCTACCGCAAAGGGCTCGACCTTCTCGGGCCATTTCCCACTTCTGCATCCAGGAACGAATGGGTTGCCGTGGCGACCGACTACGCGACACGTTAAGCGATCACCCGCGCTCTCCCAACCAGCTTCGCTACCGGTGTTGCCGACTTTCTACTACACGACAACATTTTGCATCACGGTGCTCCCCGAGAGCTCGTTACTGACCGAGGCCGATACTTTTTATCTCGCATTGTCCAGGATCTTGTACGTTCCTGTTCCATGAACCACAAGTTCACAACGGCATACCATCCACAAACTAATGGACTTACTGAGCACCTGAATCGCACTATCACCGACATGTTGTCGATGTATATTTCTCCAGACCACCGCGACTGGGAAGCAACGTTACCCTAAGTCACCTTTGCTTACAACTCCTCCAGACATGACACCACAGGCTATTCCCCGTTCTACCTTCTTTATGGGCGTGAACCCTCTTTGCCTCTCGATACACTCCTTCCCGCTGGTTCAAGCTCCCTTGTCATATACGCCCGCGATGCCATAGAACGAGCCGACGCAGCACGACACATTGCCCGAGAACGACTCACACTTTCTCAAGCCTCTCAGAAAGATTGGTACGATCGTCACCACCGTGAAGTTTCGTGTGCACCTGGTTCACTAGTACTCTTGTGGACACTCTGTCGTCACATCGGCTTCTCATCAAAGCTCTTATTTCGCTATGACGGACCATACAAAGTCCTACGCAAGGTCACTAACCTCACCTACGAGATACAGCGAATCGTCGATTAAGCGTACTCAATGCCACCACCATCTATTGTTGTGCACGTCGTAAGTCTGAAGCCTTATATGTCGCCCAACACTCCGCTTTTGTGACAAGTGCCGGGTCGGCGCTTTAACGCCGCGGGGTAGTGCCACAAGGCAGTAGTGGGATCGTGGCACAAAGCGGTAGAGGGTCTTCGCTTGGAAGCAAACACTACGAAGTGGACAAAGACTGGTCCCAGCCCGCCAGTGTGTCAGCCATTGCCATCGCAAGTAAACATCGTAAATATCCGCAATTACTTGTTTCCTTGTAAGATTATCTTGCAAATTTCAGTCACAGCTTTCATTACTGCTGGTGTACAGCCAAACTTTAAAACTCACTTTCAATGTTTCACACCACCTTAATGACTGAAAATTTTTTAATTAAAACACACTTTCAAAGTTTCACACCACTTTAATAACTGAAAATGCAATCTGCGCTTCAGTATGACTGTTCCCCTAAGTTGACCATCCAGTTATCAAACATAAGTAATGTGCAAAACACACAACACATGCATCATCATTAATTGCAGTTCACATTTACACAAAGAACAGTGCGAACTCAGTAAAAACAGCGCAAATGTCACCAGGTCAACTTCAGACATGAGGCACAGAGCAATGATAAAACAGAGGAGGCACTAACATGCGTCAGCAGCACCAGTGCATGTACTACATGGATGGATTGATGTGGCTGTACCCTTTAGATCAGGCGGCGGCTAACGCCACCTGACGTAATATTTAGTGAACCAACAACTAGATTTATCTTTTTTTTTTTCCTTTAAATAGTGAAATTGAGGACTGGTACTTTGCAGTGAAGCGTTTAATTTTTACACGTGCCTTGACTTTAGCCACCAATAAGATAACCTCCTTCTAGTTAATTCTACCTGCTTAAAGTCCTTTTTGCCCTCCCTGTCCCAAAACACCAGTGCTATGAAAAACCCTGTGCCATCATCCTGAACTATAGGGTGAAGTTCTTTAAGGAACATTATCAAGAGTTCGGCAGTTTCCTCCTCCTCTCCACATGCACTGCATACCGTGTCTACCCCTTCGTATTTGGCCCGATATGTCTAGGTTCGCAATCTCCCGTCCTGGCCTCAAACAGTAGAAAACTACCTTGAGTATTATCATAGATCTTTTTCTTGGCAATTTCCTGCTTAAAAGTTCGATAGATCTCTAGTCCAGACTTCTTAACCATGCGAATTCTCCGCATGACAGTTTCCATTTCCTTCACCTTCTTCTTAACCAATAGTTTTTTGTTTGGCCCCCTGCTGTTTTCTAAGTATTTACCTGCAAATATGCTGGTTCGCTTCCTCCATTTTGTATCGACATCCTTCATGTACAAGTAGCTGAATACCTTCCTAGCCCAATGCTCCTCCCCCATTTCTCTCAATCGCTTCTCAAAATTGATCTTGCTGCTAGCTTCCCTGCCCTGAAATGATATCACTCCCATATCACCTTGTGCTCCCTGATTTGGTGTATTCCCGTGAGCTCCTAAAGCAAGCCTACATATTCCACGTTTATTAATTTCTAATCTTGCTTGAACTTCTGATAGCATGCACAAGACCGCATTGCTGAACGTCAGACCAGGAACCATGACCCCTTTCCATATTCCTCTCACAACATTATACCTATTGTAATTTCACAGTGCCCTGTTTTTCATTACCGCTGCATTCGTGTTACCTTTAGTCGTCACGTCTATTTCGTGTTTCCTTAGGTACTCGGCCCCATTGGTTATCCATACGCCCAAATATTTGTATTTATCTGTTATCTCTAGCGTGACCTCCTGTGTACTAAGCTCACTACCTTCATTATCATTAAAAAACATGACTGCTGATTTTTCCTTACTGAATCTGAAATCAAACCTATCTACCTCATTACCGCAGATGTCCATCAATCTCTGCAAATCTTACTTGTTGTCGGCCATTAGCACTATATCATCTGCATACATCAATGATAGTAGTGCCTGTTCAATTAGTTTTCCTTGTTTGACGAAAGGGAGGTTGAAGCCAAGTCCACTTCTCTCTAATTTGGCCTCTAATCCTTGTAGGTACATCATGAATAACAAGGGTTACAGAGGACACCCCTGTCTAAGCCCCCGTTTTACCTCTGTGGGTTTGGATACCTGTTTTTCCCACTTTATAACTACCTTGTTACTTTTATAGATATCCTTTAAAAGATTTGTGACTCCATCTTCCACACCTAGTGTGTCCAGTATTCCCCACAATTCCTCTTGAACCACGCTATCATACGCTCCCTTTATATCCAAAAATGCTAGCCACAGGGGCCTGTGTTCCTTTTCTGCTATTGTGATGCACTGCATCAGTGAGAACAGAGTGTCTTCCTACCTCCTGTGTTTCCGAAACCCATTCTGCAGTTATCCCAGCACCTTCTCATCCTCTATCCATGCCTCCAGCGACAAGCGTTCCCGCCTTCTGGCCAAAGCTAAAAGGCATCGCTGGCCCTGTTAACTCGGCCCATAAGAAACCCCCCCAGCACACTAGCCAGTATATTCTATATGCCGAGTCATATCACCGGCCATGTCGGCTTTTGTTGAGCTCTTGGCTTGACTTTATATCGTGTGTTTGTGGCACGTAGTGTAAAATGGCTGTATTTATATTGAAGGAGCACCTTTTTGGTGACAAAACATTATTTTCCAGGAGACGTGCACGCTACATGCAAGTTTATTTTATGTTTATATCCCCCAAAGCAATGGCTCAAGAGGGCTAAGGCCGTGGCCATCATTTCAAGATATTTGTTTTTTGTTTTTTTTGTCGTGTGACAGCAGGCAGGTAAAATAATATTAGGGGGGGGGGGGGTTTAACGTCCCAAAACCACCATATGATTATGAGAGACGCTAAAATGACATCAAGTTCACCATTTGTTGTAAATGATGTTAGCCTTGCAGTGTGTACATTGACACTGCAGAAGATTCAATGAAGCATGTGCCTTGTTCTCTCGTGGCCGCACAAGTGGCCTGAAAACGTTTCGTACACAAACGTAGCTACTGCCACTAAAGGGAAATAATACTACAGCTTTACGAGACCCTTATGCTATTGTCACCTAAGTAGCGTAAGAAACATGCTGGCACTGCAGTAATAAGCAACGACATGGACAATCAACCCTTCAATGAAAGAGGTCGTGGCAAGGGGGGGGGGGGGGGGGGGTAATTTCAATCCTTTCTGCTCTGCAACGACTTATGCAAAGACTAACGCAAGAAACGGGTTCTGTTGACCACATGCCATTGAACTTCTTCGTGTGCGCAAGTTCATGAAGCCCGCTAGTGCAAACCTGCACTGGTATTCACTAAACGCGCCACTTTTTCCTCTGAAACTCCCGCAGCACTTCACACATTGAACGAGGTCACCGAGGTACACGACTGCACGAGGGGGAGCACTTTTGATGGCGATCAAGGCCGATCAAGTGATAGACACGGGGTGCGTCACCTTGGGCAGACATTACTCTCGACGGATACCTCGGTTACCAGCAGCGAGTACACTTCATCATCTGGAGCACCTATTTCAGTTGATCAGAGTAAAAATGAACAACAAAAAGAGACCATTTGCAACATCTGATATATCGTGAGAAAGCTACTCTTTGGGGCATTCACGAGAGCGTCCAAGTACAATAAAAAGCACCGGAACGAGCAAGAACTAGCGTAGCCGAGGCGACACAGAACTGAGTAGCGCTCAAGCATGAGACACGAAATATTTGCGAGACAGACAGCTGCGCCTTCAACGAGGTGTGGTGCTGTTCGAGCGTTTACGTACGCCAAGTCTACGTACGGGGTCAACAACACAAGACGAAAGATGATTGGAGTAAAGCATTACCTCTCCGCTTCAGCACTGCCACCAGAGTGTCTTCGAGCGACGTGACATGGCGCACTGGTCGGCTGCTGCTGCTGCTGTAGTTTCGCGGCCTCTCTGAACACCTGTCGGCGTAGCGGGTTTCAAGCCAGGCTCGGCACACCGTATCTGCGGCTGGACGAAGAACACACGGTATTTACACGCAGCTAACCGCGCTCGCTTCTGTAATAACCTCAAGACGACTCGAGTGACACGACAGTCAACACAAAAAGTCGACGACGAATGTAGACGAAACGGTAGTGATACCAGAGAAGATCGTGTGGCGCTCCCTTCGACCTTAGTTTTAGCCGCTACCTTTGGAACCGCTACCGCGGTTCAAGCTTCCTTCAGCATGATGTTTTACATTGCAATAAAGTGGCAAAGTATCTGAACAAAAACAAGCGCCTCCTCTATAAAATTAGGCTGATGCTGACTATGCTTGTCAATTTCGCCACCACAGAGTGTGATCACAGAACACCTACCAGTCTGTATGGAGACACCACGAATGACCGCGCACGCTTCGGTTCTCGTGCTATTCGCGCCGTGGCGCCGCTAGCTGATGAAGTTTCCGCTGTCGCACGAGCACTTTTACTAGGTAAGTTGCAAAACTGAGCGATGTTGCGCGGCGCCGCCGCTGCCAGAGACAAATGCAGCGCTGCTGTCGCATCCGGATTCACTCACTGCATGCTCGCTTGTGTTACTCCCGTAACCTCCGTCGGCTGGGCATGTTTCAGTGCGTCGCTATCCGTGGAGGCCTCTTTCTGCGTGAAAAGTTTTGTGTTACAGCGTGCCCTCTTCTACTTTGTATGTGTTGCGTGTTTTCATCATGCCCACATGTTGTGTTATTTCCCGGCTGTATGAGTGGCTACAGGAAATGAGAGACACCACGACATTTCCTTTGTGCCCCGTGTGTACCTGAGCAATGAGATGCATGCTACCACGCTATTTCTTGTGCGGGTAAGAAACTGCCCAGCACATCTCGTGTGTGATATGCACGTTCATGAGGAGGACATCCTGAGGACTTTCACTCCCATCATTGATAGTAAGAAGGTACAAATCACCAGAGTATAGTGGGACCTCATCGGAAGATGCGTTTCACGGATATCCCAAATTTGCCCGCTTTCCTGTCAAAACCCACGAAAAAGAAGCGAAAGCTGCCCAATAGGAGTGGGGTACTTTCTAGAATATCATCCGCGAAAAAGAATAGACTATCTCTGAGCACTGATCTTGAAGACGGTGAAATAAGTTTCGACATGCCGGCCGTCAATGAGTGGCGTCATAATTTCACTTCAAGACATAGAAAACGTTTGTTTGCTTGCTGAATGTTGGCGGCAAGTTGTTGAGAATGGCGAGACAAGACGTCTTGTGGTGCTTATAGTGCTCAAAGAAGAAAAAAGAGCGCTTTTGTGGAGAAATGCGTAGTCGTCGCAGAAGACTTGACAGTCGCCATTAGTAGCAGTCACCATCGCTTAGCCAAGTCGCCCGGCAATGCAGATACCATCACACAATTGGCCGAACTTTTGAAGGACATAGAAAAGCTGAAAGTGAGTTCATGGTGTCCCAATGCGTCAAGCAGGCATTAAGCCTCGTAAGTATAATGACTGCGAAGTGCTCACCGATACCCCAAAGTGTGGTCCCTGCTCGAAGCTTTGGCTTCAGCTGTGTTAACAGGTTTCATTAGAGGAACTCAAGAAGAAGCAGAGAGAAGACATGCTTAAGAAAAGCGCCGCACACGCAGCTTTTGACGGCCTTAATTGCTAAAAAAATGTGATTGGCATAAAAAAAGCTGTCTACAGAACCAGACGAAAGCCACAGGATTGCGCCACATAGTTGAAATTTATTTTAGGCACGAAAAACACAGTCACAAGCGAGGATAAAAGACATTTTAGTTGGGTTTTGTGTGCGCCTAAAAATTAATTGCGAACATACACGAACTAGCAACTAACGGACAGACTCGTATGTTATGACCTCAAGCATCGTTTATCGTGGGCAGTTCAGCAAGCCATAATTATGCTGTATTTGCCTTACACCACTAAAATATCACGCAGTATAAAGTTTCTGTGGCAGCACAACAAGAAATCCCGATAATATACTGTTGGCAAAGCTCTTTCAGAACAGCCGCCACTGCGCCTTGCCATGACGACTGCACGTTTTTTGTCTGCTAGCGGAAGCTTGTTGCGCCGCGAGCGTCACCAAACCGAAAGTTGTTTTGACGCTGTGTGACAGATCATCTGTCGCGGGGAGTTTTGCAACTTACCTAGTTCTGGAAACGTTGCTTTTAATAGCGATCAGTGTCAATTCGAATTAACCATGATCCGCATTAGGTGCTGCTACACGGTCTCTTTTAATAACGAGCAGGCGTGATTGGTATCAAGACTATTGCTGTTCTAGAAACTGGTATGTGTTCTGTGACAGAGTGTACTAGAAGTGTTGAGTGGCGTGAGTCGTGACCGCGCCTCGCTGCCTGATACCTTCCGCGTTGCCCGTAGCGGCAGCGCTACAGTCGAATAGTACTAAAAGAGCCGCGCGCCGCGTGCAGGAACTGCTATGGGCTTCGGCTTCTCCGGTGAGCTTTTTTGATGCAGATTTCTTCGTAACTGCCCATAATTCTTGTCTAGCACATGATGTCATTACCCTTGAAGTATGACACGCCAATCTGCTGAATTTGAGCTTCATAAAAGTCCTTGTGAGAGATCGAAAGTTACCTAGAAAGTGCGTGTTTCATATGATTTCTTCTGTCTTGACTCTTTCTTGGTTGGGCAGGTATCTACAATAATAAATATAACTGAGCCGATTTATTGGAAGTTAGTTGTGCCCAGAAAGCTGTGAAATTAAAAAAAATGATATACCATGTCAAACGCACGGAAAACCTGGAGGCCGTAGAGGGAAGAGGAAGGAAAGCTGAACCCCCTACACAACAAATTTTTTTTCGTAATTTCATTTTTCAGGGTATACTAAAAGATTGTGGTCATTCATTATGCGCTTCTTCTCATATATGCATATTCATAATCATCATCATCAATCTGGGTCCCTGTCCTCATCTACACAATCATGATCGGGTGTGTGCGCGCTCAGTCTCAGACTGCCCGTTCGCTGCTGAGCCCTTGGCTGAATAAAAGCTGTCTCAACCCAGACGTCATACGTGGTGCAGGTGGATTTTCGGTCCTCTCCCACCTCGCTCGACTCCCTAGAGCTGCGTTCAGGCCGCCGATTGCCCCCCCCCCCCCCCCCCCCCTGTCTGGCAGCATGTCACAGAGCCTGCCGGCGCTGCTGCCATCTCTTCCCCGCCGTCTTCAGCCGTGCCCCCTGTTTACGTACACAGCCACCAGCGTGATCCCCCTCTCTTCGCCGGTCGTCGCGGGGAAGACGTGGAGGACTGGCTCGATGAGTACAGCCGCGTGAGTGTTGGTAATCGCCGGGATGATGGCGCCAAGCTCCGTTACGTCTCTGTCTACTTGACCGGTGTCGCGAAAACGTGTTACTTTAACCACGTCATCGACATACCCGACTGAGCGACCTTCGAGCGGCAGCTCCGTCACGTTTTCGGCACACCGGCCATTCGGTCCGCAGTCGCGAAGAGAACCCTCGACACTCGCCAACAACATTCCGTTGAGTCGTACACGTCGTACATCGAGGACGTTCTTGCGCTCTGCTGGCGGGCCAATTCATCTATGCTTGAGTCCGACAAAGTACGCCACATTTTGAAGGGTATAGGCCCTGTTGCCTTCGATGCCCTGGTAGCTCAGAACACGGCTACCATAGCCGACGTCGTCACGACATGTCAGCGCCTCGATACTGTGTTCTCGGTTCGCCTACAACCAGGCATAGGCGAACAATCAAACAGACCTCTCCGTGACCTGATAAGAGACATAATACGTGGATAGTTGCAGAACATGGGTTTCACACCTTCTCCACCATGTTCTCCTCAGTCTACTGGAGCGGCATTACGCGACATTATCAGGGAGGAACTGACATCTCTGAACTGCTATGCCTCCCAGCGAGGTAAAGATGACGTTGCCGGTACCAACGTACGCGTCGGTCGCTGCCGCTTCTCCCCCCCCCCCCCCCAAAATTTTCATTCGATCCCGCCTGACCCTTCCTCGGCACACCTGACGGCACTCTCCTCAGGTACTCCGCATGGTTTCTACTTTTCCCCTTGGCGCTCATCTCGCCCAGTTTGCTATTACTGTGGGTATCGTGGACACATTTCTCCATTCTGCTGCAAGTGCCAGCAAGACGAGCGCCACGGTTACAACATGCGTGAACGAGATACTTTTTACTATCCAAGGTCAACGTCATTCATCACCTACACGCTGGTTTGCCCTTTCCGCCCGTATCGAGTGCACCTCGGAACAGCCGGAACTCCAGACGCCGTTCACCATCACCCTTTCGCCGCTCCTCCTCCCCACTTCGGCCTGCCTCATTCGTGACTGCCAGTCATTCGGAAAACTAAGTGATGCAGTTTTTTTGGGGGGGAAAACTGCATTCCGAACTAGGACTGATATTCCTCCACCAGGCCCCTGCAACATGATTTCGGTGGTTGTGGAAGGAGTGTACGTGGATGACCTGGTGGACTAGGGTGCGGTATTTTCTGTTATGCGCGTTGATTAAGGCAAACGTCTGAAAAAAGTGATGACTCCTTACGATGGACCTACGTTGGTTGCTGCCCAGGGGTAAACCATTCACCCTTTCGCCTTCTGTACAGCCCGCGTTTTTATTGATGGTATCCGACAGCACATTCACTTCGCCGTCCTGACTGACTGCTCTCACCAATTAATTTTAGGGTGGGATTTTATCTCTCTTGCCTCCGCGGCTATTTGCTGTGGCCAACGCGTCGTCCACCTCACCGACACGGACTGCACTCTCAACGACGACCCGCAGAGGCCACTTAGTTTGACAGCTGCGGAAGATACCGAATTACCACCAGGTCAAGAGCGAATTGTACCTATTACCTCCAAAGACGTCGACCATGGTGACGTGTTGAACTCACCATGATTTAGTTGCGTCGGTAAATGCATCATTCTCGCTCCCGGTGTAGTTCGGTTTCTCAATGGTTCTGCACTTGTAACCGCTGTGAATGCAACATCCGAAGAAATTCTACTTCCCCAGAACACCACGGTGGCCTGCGTGACGGATCCCGAGCCTGCGTGCGTCGTGCCACTTCATGCCGTCTCCTCCAACGACAGCCCTAAAGGTGAGCCTGCTTCTTCTTCCGCCTTTACTGCAGCCATTAGCGACGACTTGACACCTTCACAGACGCTGCAGCTACTTGCTTTGTTAAAGAAACATGCAAATTCCTTCGATGTTTAGTCCTCGACATTGGGCCGCACTACTACTACAATGCATCAAATCCACACAGTTGGAACCTCTGTTGCGCGCCGCCGGCCCTACCACGTGTCTCTTGCTGAGAGAAAATTATCGAAGAAAACATAGCTGACATGCTCAAACGAGAGGTAATTCGCCCT